GTGCCCATGAGTCACAGGACAGATGTGAATTTTAAAGAAGGCCAAATCTGTTCCCATTTCACATTCTTTGGTGGGATTGTCAATGAAACAAATTTTCCTTTGATGTAGCAATCGACAAAGTTTATTATATTACGTACATAAGTAGGTTGTTCGAGACTACCAGTAGATCATTTGTATATGAATTGTATTCACCGTATTTCGTTTAAGGTGATGAAGGACTGGTAGTTTAATTTTCTCACAATGATATCAGTAGACCTAGGCGAGGGCGAAACTGCAGCCCACTCCGGATGAGAATACGTTTTGGGAAAGTAAGCTTATGTGAAATTAAATGGAACTGTGGGGTCTACTGTCATTATAGATATAAAGAATAACTGGGTTTCGATGAACCTCCTGAGATAACATTATTGTTGGTAATTTAATTTAGTATGAAAGTGTATGAAGCAGAGATTCTTAGGTCCATCATCTGCCCGTTTTCACCTGGAAAGTGTGAAGAGGTCTAGTGGACTGCATCGATCTCAATGTCGTATAAAAGCCAAACGGCTGCAGTACAACGGGATTCAACCATCCTCTTCTCGTGAGTTCAACCTTCGAATCTCTTCTTCACACACTTTCCTACGAAATGAAAGTCCCAACAATAATACTATCACTATGATTGTGGGAAAAATTTAAATACCAGTCTCTTTACACCTTAAAAGAAATCAGGTGAATACACTTTAAATATAAAAGTTAAGTCCTCTTTTCACTTGCTCATGGTTATTTGGGGCGAGTTTTGTTTTGACAGATGGCAAAAGGTTGAACTAGGCATCAGGACAACCACATCAGCCAGTATCTTTGTCCATTTTCTTCCGTATCAAACCCAAATGGACTGCAATGTTGTCGCGTGAAGACGACAGAAGTGGCCCGGACACGTCCAAGACGAACAGCAAAGTGTTCCAGTGAAAATGGCCAAAGTGGCTCCATGCTCGAGTGTATGTTGAAGGCTTTTCACAACCGGCTCCGTCAGTCCGAAGAGGGAAAATTTGCCTCGAGGCTCACAATCGCGATCTTTATGTGAAAAGCAAGATGACAGAGCAATCAGGTCGCCCTCCCTCTGATTGATCATATACACCGGAAGACCGATTTTACGCGAAGTGTACAACCGATCTAGTAGATTGGCCTAGTAACCAGGCCAATGTCGCCAGGACGACTTTATTTGCCAAAGCCCAGTTTGAAAAATGTGAATTGCAGAGCGATGTCCAAAGAAAAACCGTCGGAAGAACAAGTTGCCATACTGTCCATACCGAAGCAGAGCGTACATCCGATCCGGAATCGTAGCTCCGAGGCAAAAAGTTCAACTGCATCAAACGAGGATAAATCTCCCTAAGCTGAACTTTCGGAATGAGTATTTTTTCACTTTATCTTTCTAGGCCCTGAGGCTGAAGCGGGGGACTTAGATGCGGCTATTTATAGACGATCATGGCAACAAGTGTAGGCCTTAGACACAATGGAGAAGGAATTATGAGATGCTGAATCTGTCCAGATGACAGTGGAAGTTTTTAATAGAATATTGCCACATCGTTAGCCTAGAGTTGAGGAAAAGTCGGCATTCAAGCAAGACTTGGAGTCTTGCGATGCCTATATCCATGGCACCACAATCGATGTCTTGCCTCGTTGATACGATAACCATTTTTAGTATAGTACATGACAAAGCTGGTCTCTGCAGGCAGCAGCTTGACGCACTTATTTGGATAAGGTGAATTCTTCAAATAGCCAGGACGCATCCTCTTCCGAACACATTTCTTCCAATCTGTGCGCATATGCACTATGAATAGGGGCATAGCTGGCTCTGGGAGATAAGTGGAAATCAATACTTCTTCACATGATGGAGGTAAAAGTGATGTTTATTGTGGCCGGACTAGTTGAAAATCTGCTTGGAAGGAGGATGCGTCGGTCAGTACTCAGTTCTTTCGAGCCTCTTAGAGCTAAAATTCGTCAAAAGGGCAAGATAAATAGATCCCTTTGTCCCGGTACATCTTCTACCACCTAATCTGTTGTTGTCCCCACGCTACGTATCGTCTCGGTTACCGTTTCGTACCTCCGCTTCTGTTCACATTATTGAGTTCACTTCCATTTCGAGTGAAAATGAGTGAAACACAACATTGGAGAGTCGATGCCACAATAATAAAAGGAATCTGCAGTCGCATTTCGGTGGAATAGACTTTTGAACCTCTTCTTCACACACCTTCACTCAAAATGTAAGTAAACTCAACTACGGTAAATAAAGAGGGTCCCTGAAAGACTAATTTTCTTCGCATAGATGGAATAAACCGGAAAAAAGCAGAATACGCAAACTAAGCCAGAAAAAACATATGCAAAAGGGCAATTAACTCTGAACTATAGGGTAATTGAGGTTAGGAAGAATAATTTTATAGGAAAACCATCTCTATGGAGTTGGATATGGGGTGATTTGGGTTAAAAATTATGAGTGGAAATAAGATCGCTTTAGGTAATGAGGGCAAGGGTGTCGGTGAATTTCACTCAGCCTTGCCATGAGGCTAAGAGACGAGTAAGGCTCAACGAGCCAATGCTAAAGCACGACCCTCACAGCCAACCCAATTAACTCGCACTATTTGTTGTAGTTACTTACCCCTAGACTAGCCTTGCTACTCATCGAACAATAAGTAGTTTAGAAGTTACCTGTAAAAATCTATTATTTTCTTCAAATAATCGTAGACAAGGTCGAAAGCAAAAACCACTTAAAACCGGTATATCTATTAAGAAATACAATTTTAAGTGACTAACTTAGCTGCCGAATTAGCTAAGACATGTATTCGACCCGAATTCCTCAAATTGTCATGTGAAAAGTCTTTGCTAAAAGGGCTCGTGCTCAGCTGCTAGGCCTGCTTGCTGGTTAGAGCCAAAATGAACGTTCTTCTCTCTAACGGCTACTTCCAAGAAGGCTTTTTTGGCACCTTTTGTCTTCCTTGCCTGGAGTCGAATCTGGCGTGAAATTCAGTGACAGTTGAGAGGACGGAAGAAGACAATTTTAGCTTTCATCCATTTCGAGCGATAGAATGCAATGACTAGCTTCACAGGTCATTCCAAGCATAAGACGGCGATCTCCGCTTAACTTATCTAAAGCCTTCTTCTTCACGTTGCCCTCGTGACAGTCCCGCTCGAGAGTGGTGAAATTTGAAATTCGTTGTCAGACAACCTTTCTTACAAATTGTTTGTATATACGAAAAATAATAAAACGCCATTCGGGCTCCAATGCTTTTAGATTCTGAGTCAATAGTACCAATTATCAGAGTTGCAAATGCCAGAAAAGCCATTATTGCTGCTATAACAATGATTAGGAAAGGAAAAACTCTGTTAGTACCATCTTTTTAACTCTTTATGGCAGCACATGGCATAGAAATAAAGTAATTGGAAGCCGAAAACGTCAAAATCCTCAAATCCGACAGCTACAACATAGCCTGATTATTTTTTGTTTATGAGTAGGGTTCTGATACTACAAATAAGTCAGTTATATGAGATGCACTCACCCTATTTCATTAAAGGTGATGAAGAACTGGTAGTTCAGTTTTCCCACAATCATATGAGTAAAGCTGACGTTTCAATTAAATTTCACAAAGTCAGCTCTACTCATACGATTGTAGGAAAACTCAACTACCAGTCCCTCATCCCCAGAACTATCTGTAGATCTGGAATAAAACCTTTAGCCACTCTAGGTCGCATTATGTGAAAGAGAGTTGATAGTGTAAGTTTTCCACAATCAGACGAGTCGACCCCGCGGTACCACTCGCCCAGATGGGACTGGTCTATTGTCATATTAGCCCCCTACCAGCGAGAATCGAGCTGTGGTAGTGCAGATAGTCCAGGCAAACTAAGCATCTTTCATATACCCATTTTTAAGGTGAGATTATCGCTCTATAAACATGTATTTGCTGTTACAGCCGACGACACTACTCTTATCCATCTTGAGTAGTATGGATTTGAAATCATACACAATAATAGTTCAAGTAATTTCAAATACCTGTTTGCTTCAGCAACAATCCCACTACAGAAGATTGGGGTTTAGGAGGGACCCAGTTTGCCTTGAAACTTACACCAAATTAGCTGGTTTCGGTTCCCGTTGGGCGTGCCGATAAGAGCAGTTCAGGCGAGGTCAAGATTGCATTCCATCCTTAATAAGGTCACCTTTCTAGAGGCAAGGATAATTGAAATTCAATGGTATCACGGGGTATACTCATCAGTTTGTGGGAAAATTCACTATCAGTCCTTTATCACCTTAAGCGACTAAGAGTTGCTGAGGCTTTAATTCATACAGTAGTTCTGCTGTTAACTTGCGCCTCGGCAACTGTCCCAGGGTTTGGATGTTACAGGAGCGTACACAAATCACTCCCTTCTTACCAAATCTGAACGTTTTGTCCAAAATGTAATTCTGGGAGGCATTATATGCCTTTCTTGCTGCATAAACAAAGGAATAAACTATTTTCAGCCTATTACTCTCTCTCTCTCTCTCTCTCTCTATATATATA